TAGAGTAGCATTAGCTTGTTTTAGTTTTATTTTGTTGAAGATATAGGGAATAGTTAGTTGAACTTTACTTATATTTGTGTTATTATTAGTAAAATTATTCGTCTTTGTGATATAATTTTTTTTTTTTTGAAGTATTGTGTAATTTCTTTTTGCACTATTTTTGAATTAGGTTGTTTTAAACATTGCGTTTTGATGGTGTTATCAAAGTGTATAATCAACAAATCTATTTCTGTAATCTACACTGAGTATTTCTCTTAACATTAATCTACTCGTGTATAACTTATAGTGTTGCTTTGTGTCACCATAGTTTAATGGTACGAATCTAGTGTGATGAAATTGAAAACACAAGAAACGCAACTGATCATTTAATTTTTTCTGATTGAGATTCTGTTGTTTAATATTTCACCAACTAGTACATTTGTGTTTAATAGTAAGGATAAGTGGTAATACAGAATAGATCTGAAGCTAAGTGGGTTGCGGTCGTATGAAACCGCTATAATTATAACATAGTCAGATTTAGTAAAATATTTACATACAGTATTACAATATGTTAAAATTTGTGATAGAAAAGCATTTGGTTTTACTATAGATGTCACTTGGAATTCTTTACCAATTAGATTTTGGAGTAAACTGCGAAAAGCTTTACCGTTTTGATCACTTAATATTAATACCTTTTTTCGTCTCATTTGTTATAGTATTGTCAGTGGAGTCTTCTCTTTCCCGTGCAGGCAATTCGGTAGTATTATCCACATTTCTTACATTCTCCAGTGTCTTTTTTGGGCTGGACGATTTATTTTCATTTGATTCATTATGTGGTTGTGTAACAAATTCATCTTTTGTTTAGTCTAAGCATGTGAAATTAAATTTATTTTTATTTAGGCTCTTGCGTCATTTTATACTTGCACTTCTTATCGGCGTTGTTCTACATATGTGTGTCAGTTGATTCGTCTTTTTTTCATAGTTTAAAATTTGTCTTTTTAGAGAGCTATTTTCCAACAATAAATTTTCTATTTCTGTTTCGGCTATTTGAAGTTTATTTTATAAGTTAGCTATTTTATTTTGAGGTCATCCAAAACCTCGTTCATAATAAGACCTGCTTCGGGACAGCTTCTGTTTAAATTCGGTGTTTTGGAAATAGAGAAATCATCATCATGCGAATCCTCAGAGTAGAGGAATGCAAAAGAGTTTGCAGTTGTAATGTTTACATTATTTTTATTCCGGTGTGTAACAAATACTTGTGGTGTCGATGTATTACTGTACTATTTGTAATTCGACATTTATTTTTGCAATTTTCAGAGTTGCAATTATGACTTTCCTTCTGTTTCATTAATAAAACAATTTCTCTGAGATATTCGTGCAAGTGAGATGATTCAATTTTTTACAGTGAGAACATTTCAAAAACTGTCTATTAAAAATAATCTTGTCGCATTTTGTACATTTTCTTGCCATTGTAATGCAATATTCTATGTCCGCTTTGTTTATATGTAAAAATATCCCCTTCGCTCGTGTGTCTAAAGGCCGTCAGACGTAATAGAAATGACTAACCACAAGTGGACGCTGCAGCGGGCGTAGTGTAGGTACTCGTACTATGACGGAATTCGTCCGTTGTGTATAATTTTTATATTGATTTTCGTTATATCTTCGAAGTAAGCAAAACTTTTTATAAACTGTTTTCACTATTATATCTATTACTGATTTCACTATCTACTCTTTAATATATAACACAACAATGATCTTTTGTTTTTATATTGGTTCACAATTAAAAAAGCCCGGAGCATAGAAATACGTGTCTACCTTGTAAAGCGCTGTCCGCGATGATATATACTTGTGGACGATAAATCCGACACCTCTTTGGGACAGATGGTCGCCCTCCCGGTGATAGAGCAAGTTGCCGGATTCGAGGATTACCGTGTCCTCCCCCTCTCTTCGGACTTCGGATAATCCTATAATATGCCAGAGTAACTTGTCTATCTCCTCTTCCAGCTCCAAAATCTTCTCGTCAGTCCTCAGGGTGCGTGCGTTGTATGTTGCCAGGTCGAGTCGTCTTAGGTGGCAACCGAACCTCCAACGGAGATTCTTAGCACCCCCTGTCCCGCCGTTACCATGGTCGTCACCGTAGCCAGGAATAGCGGGGCCGCCGGGGACTGGGGTCCATTTCTTTGTTACTCTCAACATAGTGGGGTATTTGCCATAGTTGCCACGCTTGGCGAGCGGGTTGGCAACCGCAGTTTTTTTATGTAAGTTTGTTGTTATCAGGAAGATGTTGCTGCCCATCTCTTGCCTGTTTCCCTTTGTCGCCTTTTACGACATCCACGGGAAGATATGGGGTAGTGGATATTCTTAACCGTCACTACACTGCTCGAGCCGACCCATTCGTGCTACAACTATACCAGTAATATAGCTGCAGCATGGCTCTACAACGTGAAAAACCTTTTCGAAAATGTTACCCATCTTAAATACTAATTGACATACATAAACATAAACACTCACGCCTGTCACCCAGAAGGGCGGGCAGGGACTACGGACTTCCATTTGGTACGATCCTGACATACCTCTCTCGCCCCCTTTACTCCGTTTAGTTCTGCTTTGTCATTCTTTCCTCGTTCATTCTTTCTAATACAGCATTGTGAATTGCTATGCGTGACTTTTTGGATACATTCGGACTCCCCACAATGGAGTGAAGAGCCCCATTTACTCTATTTCCTGCGTTGACTCGTCGTTCTATATCCTTATCCTATCTATCCCTGCTAAACTCTCTAACTCTCCTTCTATTGTTATTTCACATATCATTTTACTTTTTTCTCTTTCAAAAATCATCACTTTTTTCTTACTTGTGTTTACTTTCATTTCCTTTCTTTTATTGACCTGATGCTAACAATCATTTGCAATTCGGCCGCCGACGACGCAAATATGACTTGATCATCGGCGTACAGAAGGCATTTGACGGTTAACTCACCCATTCTTAACCCACATTCTTCAGCTTACAAAGTTTCCAAACAACTTCCCATAAATAGGTTGAACAGCTACGGGCCCCGTTGATCCTGACACAAGTACTAGAGTCCCTATAAAGATACTTTAATGTCTTTATCAACCCAGCTCTCAACCCAAATGAGTTCAGTGTTTATCATAACACATCCCTGTCTACTCGGTCTTGTGTTTATGTGTTGTTATGTGCCTTTTCCAGGTCCATGAACGCACAAAATCTTTCTGGTTTTTCGGTCAGAAACTTCTTCGCGGTATCATACGCATGGAAAAGACTTGATCCGTACATCCCATTCCCTTTCTAAATACAGCTTGCACATCCCAAATTTTTCCATCAGTTTGTTTCATAACTGTTCAGCTCTGAACATTGCAACGCAGCACCCCAATAACCGCGTTACCAAAACTAACGCACACTAACAGTTGTTGCTGAGTAGTCTTAACATATGATATAAATTTGTACGAGTATTAAATTGCATATATTATAATGATTTGTGAATAAAATCCTCTTTCAACGCTGGACAACGTCTTCGTTATTACCGTCGAGACTCCTGGTAAGACCTCCCTCTCACTGCGGCCAAGACACCTCTAGCCGTCAGAACCTCTGATCAGTGTTGTGAGTCTGCTTGATTGCCCTTGAGAGAACCCCATCACCTAACCCTGATATCCTGTCTCTGTCCATCTTCTACTTTAGGTCTCATGGTGCAGACATCCCGTACTTATCTAATTCATGTATATATATTTATATGGTAGGGCTAAAATATTAGGTACTGCTAGGTATATGGAACTTAGTTAGGCTCTGTAGGGTCGAATAATCCTTCTTACCATTATTCATGTTCAGCCAGGTAGTCGAGTAGTATAGCTAAGGGTAACTAAGTTAACATTTAATCAAGCAACTATCTGACTGTACAATAACTCTTTCAATTAACACCTTAGCATACAGTTTTCTCACAATACCAAGCAGGCTGATACCATGGTAGTTTTTACAGTCCTGCTGTGACCCTTTTCCCTTATATATTGGGACTATAACGGCTTTACACCAGTCTCCCGGTACCCGGTTCAGTTCCTAATACAAATTGAACAAAGTTTACAGCAGGCCTGCCACCACTACTTCGCCAGCCCTTAGCATTTCGAGAGATATTCTATCATATACGGCTGACTTGCCTACTTTCATGTTTTTCATTGCTTTCATTATTTCATCTATACTTATTTCCCTACCTCTTTTCGCTTCTTTCGGAATTACTCGTACATTTAATTCAAACGTCTCACTCATAAACACGCTTCCAAAGTCTTCCTTCCATCTCTTTAAACTCGAAACTTCGTCATTGAGAATACAGCCATTCTCGTCTCGTATATCATTTATTCTAGGCCGTTTTGAATTTCCCCTGGCAGTTCTTTCGAGGTTCCGGAACATTTTAATATTTGCCTGGAAGTTATCCGATATTCTTCTATCATATATCATATTCTTATCCGTTCTTTCTGGCGTTTTACTTTCAACTAATTTCAATCTCTTATTTAGACGTTTAAAGACTGCCTATTTTCTTTCAGTATAATCAATCGTACCGCCAGAGTTACGAGCCTTTGTTACTAGTTAATTTAGCCATGCTCTCTTCTTTGCTTCAACTTCCATCCGTACCAAATAAATACAAATTATTTGTTATAATTTAATTCATTAATAATTAAAAATCTCCCTTAATGAAAGAATTCGTTGCTTAAGATGTATGAAAGGAAAAGGAAATAATGTAAAATACGTTAGATATTGTCCAAAAAATATATTTATTGTAGTAGACAACACGGGGACGCGCGCCCAGCGCCCAGCCCGCACCGCGCGCGCATCCTGCAACAACGCTTCGCTATCTACGTTCTTCTCTCTGTTTTAATAATTGGAATAATTTATTTAATAATTACAACGCTTTTTTATCTGCTCGTATTTTAACATTAGATATAAACTAACTTCGTCTTGTATAACTTGGTGTAAGAACAGCCTTCAGGAATTGAAATAGGGTGGCGCAAAATGCACCTCACAGCACTGTTTCCATTTCCACTCGCGTCCGCTCTCTGAGAAGAAAAAAAAACAACATCAAGCTAGATTTTAATTGGCGCAATGCTGCAGTGTATAATTCTATAATTTTAAAATGCAAAATGAAAAGGTCTTAAATAAAATGAAGTACATTCAGAGCAAGTCAAATTCAATTAACGCCAGCACCTATGAATTTGTAAATTGAAATTTTAGTACTGATAGCGCTCGTGACAAGTGCAACGTGCTAGGCCTTTCTTAGGTGTGAAGATACCCTAAGAAGACAGGTTTGCGCGTTTACCGCTAAAATAAACCCTCAGCCAGAATCGGAATTCTCGGCATCGACATATCGAATAACAATTATTTACGCGGTCACTTAAAATGGAAGAACAAATGGGCCTCTAAAATGTATGGCTTGCTTTATAGAGCAGGACAGTATTTCATGCCGGCTACACTGCTTACAACTTTATAATGCGCAGGTTTAGCCTTACATGGAATACTGCTCTCATCTCTGTCCATTTGACCGCATTCAGTAACCTCCACAGCCGAAGTGAAGTCGCGAGGAAAGATGATTATTGGTATGGCGAGGCAACACTCGCCCTATCTTCCGCAACCCTAGCGGAACGTTTTGTTGCTAGGCAACGCTCCCCTACTCTCCATAACCGAAACATGTTCATTGGCGGAGCCATAACCCAGATGTCGCTAGAGCCAGGAAGAGTGATGCTAGCCCGCAATTGGATTTTCTGGCCCCGTGGATTTAAAAAAATACGCATAGTTGGTCAGTAATTTAACGAATTTTCACAGTAGTGAAAGTTATGTATATAAGTTAGATAATATTTTATTAATCTTTTTCTTTTAATATTTTATTTAAAAAACGTCACCCCCACACTAGGATTTTCTCCTGTGTCGTGGAGGCAGTTTACAAACATAAATTGCACAAGGACAAACATCCAGACCCGGAACAATTATTTGTAGGCCATACAAATACTTGTTCCGTGCGGGATTCGACCCGCAGGCCTCAGCGCAACAACTGATTGCTAAGCCCCTGCGCCACGGAGCCGTAAAAAAAGTGTTAGGAACATGAAGTTGATCATGAATTGATAAAGGGAATGATATTGAGCATAGAAGAAAGGTACTGTAATGAGTTCTTTACCAGAACCGTAAAGACATACCCTAAAGATACTAACAATCTCTGAAACTAGCCCAAAGGAGATTTAAATAATTGGAGCGTTAATTAAATAATGATACGGACTTGAAAAATAAATAGTGTAGTATTTTTTGCTTATTATAAGCCAATGTTTGTCTACAATCAAAATAGCGGGGAAGCCCTAGATGGTGTAAAACACATTGTCTTATCGTAACAAAAGCCTATTCACTCTTCCCTTGAAGACGCACAGATTGTAATCAAACGAAAAGATAGATACCGGCAGATTGTTCCACTCCTTTTCTGTAACCATTATGAAAGGCAATGCAAACCGTTTAGATCAAATGCGTGAAACATGAAACGACAAAGGGGTTAAGATCCTTGCTTGTACGGTAATGGAGAGAAGAGCAAGAAATTAAGGCACGCGATTCCTGTGCGTCCACTAACCACCAAATAACATGGCGAAATGCGGCTTTAGTCTAGACAATTTATTATTAATTTACCTTTGAGGTGTACGAGACTTTAAAAACAAATGTTGATCTACCGCTGTTACATAACCTAATTAAAGATGTTAAAAATAACTAGCCAAGATCCTCACTCAATAATACGATACGTGTTTCGCCTTGACGTTGGTGTGTCTTTCCTAGTTGTAGTGGTGTTGGGATTAGTGGTGCTGAGGATAGTGCACGCAATTGAGGGCGGGAGGTGTTCTTCAAACTAGGTAAGAGGATATTTAAAAAAAAATAATATAATGGATTTCCGCAAAGTAGCGCCGGAGACTATTTATTATGATGAATTGAATAAAACTAGTTTTATTCAATGTGTAGTGTTCGCGTAAATATAAGAAATCATTATTATGATGAAGTCAAAAAAATTATGAAAAAGGGTTTTAATAATATGATTGTACCTGGAGCGCAGATCGCTGCAAGAGAGCGGTCGGTCGAGATCGGGCAGTAGGTCTGCCGGCGCGCGTAATGTTCGCGGATGGGTGGCGTCGTGCGGCAGCCCGCCCGCAAGGAGTGCGGCGGCCGAAGCCAGCCGCCGCGGCGGTGGCTGCAGGCCATGCGCTGCCAGCGCCGCCGCCAGTTGACGCGCACGCGCCATCGCCGCATCACGTTCATGACGTGCCCGCCACACCTGATGTCAAATACTTCTTATGGTTATGTTTTCCTGGTTGTTATCGGGAACAATCATGAACAAATGCACCTTTTTAAGTTATCCACGACTTTTCAGAGGTTGGAAATATTTGACAGATTTAATAGCGGGGAAAGTAAATTTGTTACAAAAGTGTAGAGCTTAATGTTTCATTCTGAAATATTAGTTATATTTTATAATAATTAGATTAGAAATGGATAAACCAAACTACAAACATTCCTAAAAGCTAAAAGTAGAAGAATTGAAAAAAAGTTAAAAATATGTAAAACAAATTAAAGAATGAGGCATTGGAAAACGCATCGGCAACGCAACTGCAATGGGTCTGGTCACCCAATTTTGTTAAGGGTATCAAAAAATTGTATAAAAAATTATGAATTCAACGGTGTTCTTATTTTTTTTCTACCTTTAAAAATGACTGAAATATTAATGAGTAAAGTAGGTAGTGTTTTATGGTAAGGGCGACCGCTTTGCTCCGCATCGCGATGTAGTGTTTATTGTTATATTTTTCTTATTCTCTCCATATTTATTACTCCCTATTTTTTTGTCATGTTATTTATTATAAGTAACCTATATTTTCTGTTTTTTTTTTTATTTCTGTTATATTACGCTCCTTGGGAATAAAAGTCCGATATGAAAAGATAAAATCCTATAGATCATGCTACACCTATATGCAAAATTTCATCAAAATCAGTTTAGTATTACACGCCTTGAATGTTTGCGACTCAAAATATAATAGGTACCAACTACCACCGTAATACCGCAATCAGTTTATTCAAAAGTAAGTCAAAGTAAAACTAGGACCATATGTTTGCAACTACTGACGAACTACGTAACCAACAAAATTTCTTCACGTGTCACTAGGTACTGAATTTTGGTACTTTGGTACTACTACAGAATTTTACTCTACCACTGGTTCGAAAAAAACCTCTGTCCTGGGAAGAACCAGCAAGAAACCCAGCGGGACTTTTGTTTAAAGCAATTTTCACAATAATGGTTGTACAAACTATATAAGTACAAAATTTATTTTAGAAACAGCTTAGAAGCGATCATCTCATTCTCAGGGGTTATTATCAACCATGTATTCATTTATACTATAATAACCCTTTTTATATAGTTTCAACTTAACAAAACATTTAAACTTGCTAATAGAGAGAGCCTGTAGACTTTCCGGGACCTTGTTGTAATAGCGTATACATTGCTGATTACTGACTCTGTGGAGTCGAGAAACTGGTATCACTAGCTTGTGTTTGTTCCTAGTGTTTACAGGATGTATATCACTTTTTTTACTAAAACTACCTTTGTTTTTGTGAACATACATTAAATTTTCGTAAATTTACTGAGAGGCCAAAGTTAATATATTTATTTCTTTAAATTTATCTCTAAGAGACTCTCTCGGTTTTAGGTTGTAAATAGCTCTAATGGCCCTCTTCTGTAAAACAAAAATAGTTTCTGAATCAGCCGCATTTCCCCATAGCAAAATCCCATAAGACATTATGCTATGGAAATAACTGAAATAAACTAATCTAGCTGTCTCGACACTAGTGAGACCTCTAATCTTTTTTACAGCATAGGCTGCCGAACTTAGTCTGCTTGCTAGTTTGGATATATGGGGGCCCCACTGAAGCTTTGCGTCGAGAGTGATGCCAAGAAAAACAGTGGATTCAACAGGGCTCAGTTCTTCCCCATTTAAAAACACATTGGTACTCAGATTGTATTGTGTTTTTGTAAATTTAATACATTTAGTTTTATTTCCGTTTAAATGTAGATTATTAACGTTAAACCAATGCACTAATTTTGATATAGCATTATTCACTTCGTCACAGTTAAATGATTGACGTTTAAGTTTAAAAACAAGGAAGTATCATCAGCAAATAATACTATATCATGATTATCCTATACAAGAGAAGGTATGTCATTAATATACACTAGAAATAGGAATGGGCCGAGAATCGAGCTCTGAGGGACACCCATTAGTACAGGTGAGCCGGAACAACTTTTACAATTGATAATAACTTTCTGCATTCTATTACTTAAATATGAAATAATAAGTTTAAGCGCTGTGTTCTTGACACCATATTACTGTAGCTTCCTGATTAATGTCTCATGGTGAACGCAGTCGAAGGCCTTGGAAAGGTCACAAAATATACCTAAAGCATCCTCTGAATTCTCCCATGCACAAAAAATATGTTTAATAAGCTCAACTCCAGCGTCAGTTGTCGAGCGACCCCTTGTAAAACCTAATTGATTTCTATGTAGCAATTTATTAATATTAAAGAAACTTAACATCTGATCTAAAATAATTTTTTCAAAAATTTTACTAAATGTTAAAAGTACAGATATTGGTCTAAAATTGGCGGGGTCTAATGTACTACCAGATTTAAATAAAGATATGACTTTACTATGTTTCATTAAATCAGGAAACACGCCAGATTCGACGCTTGTCTATACATATAATAAAACTGTAAATAGCAGATGTCTGTACATTTTATAATTTTGTAATAAAAGTGATTGAGGGGTACTAAAAATGAGTAATTAAATACATTTCTACCATTTTTAGAATTTTCTGTCTGTCTGTCTTTCTGTCTGTCTGTCTGTTTGTTTGTTAACGTATCACGTTTAAAGTACTAATTTATATCATAAGAATTGTTAAGGAAATTCTAAAGTGTACCTTCGGGTTACATTTAGTCTTTATTTCATTAAAATCGGTTCATGCCATCAAAAGTTATGATAAATATTCTGAAGTATGGGTAGGGAATTTGCTCAACGGTGGCTATGTTTGAATCATCAAGTTGATGTTAGCAGCGCCATCTCTCTTTAATTAAATATATACATATAATAAAAATGATGATAACATGTTGTGTCTCTTTCTGTACATTGTATATATATTTTGGTGGCTAAAATCATTATGGGGAACTGAAAATAATTAAATAAGTACATTTTTATAATTTTTAGAATTATCTGTCTGTCTGTTTGTCTGTTTTTATATGAAGGCATCACGTCTAAAGTAAACATCTTTTTTTTTCAAAGAAATCGTTAAGAAAATCATAAAGCGTATCTTCAAGTTACATTTAATCTTTGTTTTATTAAAATTGGTTAATTCTATCGAAAGTAATGATTATTATTTTAAAATGTAGGTTCGAATTTGTTCAATGGCGCCATAAAAATCTCAGAAATAGTAATAAAAAGATTTGTGTGTAAAAAAAACGTTCCATAATAATTAATATATTTATACTTAAAACATAAAAAGAGATTTAAAAAAGGATGTTTTCTCACACAAAGGACGTAATAGATGGAGTTGTACAAATTACAAACTTTTCTGATTTACTGTGTTGAGATTTTTCTCCGATGAATCGTATTGAGACTTACTGAAGAAATTTGTATCTATCGAAGCCATACAACGGAACCCGAACAAAAATAACAAAATTGCAACGAAATGTCGTGATATTGTATTTATAAAATACGCAAAATCAGTACTGCCATTTTAGCGCTTTGGGAACTAGATTTAGCGCTTTTTTGGAATGTATAGCGTGCATTTCGAAATTTTAGCACCTAGCACTTAATCCAGCGCTTTTTGGTGTATTTAGCACACATTTCAAAATTGTAGCGACTAGCGGGTTATCAACTCTTTTATAGCAGCACTGTTAGTCCACATTACCGATAATAATAATAATGACCTTAATTATTTTTTTCCACAAATAGTACATTGCAGTTTATCTTTTTCAAACATATTTTTTCCACAAAACAAAGACCATGGGAAACGAGTCCAAACTAGGATACCCTGTGCTATGGATCTCCCGGCTTCCCCTTTAGGAAGATCAACTTGATTTTTTTTATCTACGACTATAAGCGGGGAAATCCCCTTCATTAAAGTTTTCCTTCATGGTTTTGGCAACGTATTTATTTTGTTTTATTCAGTTTTAGTCAGTTGTTTAGAGCACAGCTAAGTTAAAACTTACTTAGAGTAGTACTAACTACTGTTGACAGCAATTGCCATAATTATAAGTCGATGTCCTGCGAAGTATTGATACATCAAAAAAATATTGCCAGAAAAAAACTTAATGTTGTTTTCTTTATTATGATTATATTTTCTTGAATTATAAATTATAATAAAAAACACAAACTTTGTTTGTAGTTAATTTAGCGCGAAATCTAGGGCTTTTTTAAAGCGCTGTTTTCATGAAATCTAGCGCTTTTTGTGTTGTCCTAGCGCTGAATGAGTTTTTTTGATCTGACAGCACTGCCAAAAAACCCTCTATTAAGAAGTAACTTTCCTTTCAGTTTTAAGCGCGTTCAGTTCCCAGTTACAGTCAGCGTGTGTTATGCGATGACCGTAAATATAGCGCAAGGTCAAAATTTACGCGTTGTAAGAGTGGACCTCAGTACTGACTGTTTTGCACATGGCCAACTCTATGTTGCTTTTTCCCGCGTTAGTAGCCCCCGTAACTTTTTTTGTGTACACCCCATCTAAGTCTACTTCTAACGTCGTTTACACCGAAGCTCTATCATAAACTACTTAGAACTTTGATGATAATGATTTATTTGTTACCACTTATTGATACAGTAATGATATAAATCGTTTAATATTCTCTTACCTAAACGACAAATTCTTTATGTAAAATCTATATACGCGAGCTACGCCGCGGGCACAGCTAGTATTAAATATAATGCCTAGATAAGGTGCTATTATATCTATTATAGATAAAATAACTTTAACGGAAATCCCCCATAAATCTGCCGTTTTCTTAACATCAATAGTTTTAAAATATTTAACGATATCTTTTGGCAGTACTCTATGGAATTTAACAGTATTTGAACAAGCCTTTACATTTTGTTTGAGCAATGATACGGCGACAGTAGGAGTAGAGTTTAATGATTTAGTTGTCACAAAAGGAACATCAGTAAAATGTTTCTCAAAAAAAGCCATAGCAACTTCTTGATCAGATCGAATTAAATTATTGTTAATATTCAATTGAAAATCCGAG